CGTGATTATAATATATAAATGTTTTTTTTAATTTAAGACTTAATTATACTTAGACTATAGAAATAGGAAGATATACAGCTAAAACTACCTAATTTAGTAAAAACAATGCAATGATAAGCAGATTGAAAGACATTTTTAAAATTTTTATATATGCAATAATGTATGAAGAATTCTATCGCCTAAGTAACCTCGGTTTAGGTATTATTGTGATTTTTCAATTTCCCGGTGTATATTGGGGAAATAAACTATGGGGAGGTATATTATATGTAATTACAATGTATTTAAAACAATTTTAGACGAAATTTAGACAAAAATATTTTTTTAACGTGATTATAATATATAAATGAAATTTTTTAATTTAAGACTTAATTATACTTAGACTATAGAAATAGGAAGATATACAGCTAAAACTACCTAATTTAGTAAAAACAATGCAATGATAAGCAGATTGAAAGACAATATTTTTCGCCAAACCTAACCCAAACCAAAAAAAAAACATATATATAATCGATCGTCGTTGTGTAAATTGATATACATGAAGTAATCTATACTTATTATAAAAATAAGTCCCCCGGCCGCGTCTTTCTGTCCTCCTGTCTGTCCTCCTGTCTGTCCTCCTGTCTGTCTGAACGCGATAAACTCGAAAACTACTGAACGGATTTTTATACGGTTTTCAACAATAGAAAGAGTAATTCTTGAGGAAGGTTTAGGTATATAATTTATTATGCTTTTATGTAAATTAGCTGAAATACGGCGACAAATGTTGAAGAGGTCGCAAAAAATCTCGCCAAATGGGAACTTTCCACGCGAACGCCGCGTAAACTAGCAAAGATACAGTTAAGTAATGTACTAGAGAATTCAAAATCTATAAAAATACTACAAAAAAGTCCGCGATAGCATATCTCTATCTCTTACGGTTGACTTACAATAACCACTTTTATGTTAACATTTTTAATTAAAAACATTACGTTATTTTCAAAGTTATTTTCTTTAGTTCGGTATTAATCCTTATCCAAATGAATATTTTAGTTAGCTTAGTCATTTAATGCAGATTAAAATTGCTCTTTACACTAAATCAATCAGATGAATAGTTTTTGAGATATCGTTGTTAGAAGTAATTAGTAGCGAAACATTTTTAATGCTTGGCGAGCATTGAGATGCCTACGGCGAGTCCATCCCCTCTGCCCCGCATCGCTCGACCGCCTGCTCAAGCTATATAAACCGGGCGATGTAGCGCGCGATCCTAGGATACTTTTTACCGCGGGAAAATATCTTATTTCTGAGGAAAAATACAAAAACTGCAATGTAAGAGTATACTAATATGTAACACCTAAGAATTTAGTTTTTGGTCATCTGAACGCGGGCGGAGCCGCGGGCAATGCTAGTAATATCTAATAACTCATTGGAATATTTTTCGCCAAACCTAACCCAAACCAAAAAAAAAACAATATATATATAATCGATCGTCGTTGTGTAAATTGATATACATGAAGTAATAATATCTAATAACTCATTGGAATATTTTTCACCAAACCTAACCCAAACCAAAAAAAAAAAACAATATATATATAATCGATCGTCGTTGTGTAAATTGATATACATGAAGTTATAATATCTAATAACTCATTGGAATATTTTTCACCAAACCTAACCCAAACAAAAAAAAAAACAATATATATATAATCGATCGTCGTTGTGTAAATTGATATACATGAAGTAATAATATCTAATAACTCATTGGAATATTTTTCGCCAAACCTAACCCAAACCAAAAAAAACAATATATATATAATCGATCGTCGTTGTGTAAATTGATATACATGAAGTAATAATATCTAATAACTCATTGGAATATTTTTCGCCAAACCTAACCCAAACCAAAAAAAAATAAACAATATATATATAATCGATCGTCGTTGTGTAAATTGATATACATGAAAGAATAATATCTAATAACTCATTGGAATATTTTTCGCTAAACCTAACCCAAACCAAAAAAAAAAGACAATATATATATAATCGATCGTCGTTGTGTAAATTGATGTACATGAAGTAATAATATCTAATAACTCATTGGATTATTTTTCGGCAAACCTAACCCAAACCAAAAAAAAAAAAACAATATATATATAATCGATCGTCGTTGTGTAAATTGATATACATGAAGTAATAATATCTAATAACTCATTGGAATATTTTTCGCCAAACCTAACCCAAACCAAAAAAAAACAATATATATATATATATAATCGATTGTCGTTGTGTAAATTGATATATATGTAGTAATAATATCTAATATCTCATTGGAATATTTTTCGCCAAACCTAACCCAAACCAAAAAAAAAACAATATATATATAATCGATCGTCGTTGTGTAAATTGATATACATGAAGTAATAATATCTAATAACTCATTGGAATATTTTTCGCCAAACCTATCCCAAACCAAAAAAAAAAAAACAATATATATATAATCGATCGTCGTTGTGTAAACTGATATACATGAAGTAATAATATCTAATAACTCATTGGAATATTTTTCGCCAAACCTAACCCAAACCAAAAAAAAAACAATATATATATAATCGATCGTCGTTGTGTAAATTGATATACATGAAGTAATAATATCTAATAACTCGTTGGAATATTTTTCGCCAAACCTAACGCAAACCAAAAAAAAACAATATATATATATATAATTGATCTTCGTTGTGTAAATTGATATACATGAAGTAATAATATCTAATAACTCATTGGAATATTTTTCGCCAAACCTAACCCAAACCAAAAAAAAAAACAATATATATATAATCGATCGTCGTTGTGTAAATTGATATACATGAAGTAATAATATCTAATAACTCATTGGAATATTTTTCGCCAAACCTATCCCAAACCAAAAAAAAAAAAACAATATATATATATATATATAATCGATCGTCGTTGTGTAAACTGATATACATGAAGTAATAATATCTAATAACTCATTGGAATATTTTTCGCCAAACCTAACCCAAACCAAAAAAAAACAATATATATATAATCGATCGTCGTTGTGTAAATTGATATACATGAAGTAATAATATCTAATAACTCGTTGGAATATTTTTCGCCAAACCTAACGCAAACCAAAAAAAAAACAATATATATATATATATATATATATATATATATATATATATATATATATATATATAATTGATCTTCGTTGTGTAAATTGATATACATGAAGTAATAATATCTAATAACTCATTGGAATATTTTTCGCCAAACCTAACCCAAACCAAAAAAAAAAACAATATATATATAATCGATCGTCGTTGTGTAAATTGATATACATGAAGTAATAATATCTAATAACTCATTGGAATATTTTTCGCCAAACCTAACCCAAACCAAAAAATAAAACAATATATATATTATCGATCGTCGTTGTGTAAACTGATATACATGAAGTAATAATATCTAATAACTCATTGGAATATTTTTCGCCAAACCTTTTTTTTTTTTTTATAGTTGGGAAATCCTATTACGGATACCACCCGACTTCCCCTGGGGTGGTTATGTGGAGACTCTCCGGCTAATGAGACCGGCATACCCACTAAAACCCAACTTTCCCCCTCTGCCGCCATGTGGGACGCCACGGGATCGCTCTCGCATACAACCACGAAGTGGCCGAAGCCACCAACCATGAGGCCGCCCCAAGCGGGACAACCCCACTATGGGAAGACTTGCAACCCAAGAAGTGAAGCCGCTCCTAAGTCCACTCTGCTGATCAGAGAAGTACCCGGAGCAGCCCCACACCACACAAACACCGCCCACCGAAGTGGGCAACCTGCTAAAATAATTCCCTACCCAAATTGGGCAAAACCCCCTCCCAAAGACGCCCGAAAACGAGCCCAACCACAAACAGCTGCAGGAGAAGAGGATGCGACAACGCCGACACTCCCCTTCCCCTGCAGCCCCACCGCGTCCACCATCAACGGTGGTGGCCCCGCTAGGCCGCGGGAGATAGGGACGAGCGGCGCATCGCCATACCGACACTCCTCTTCCCCCGCGGACCCCTACCGTTGGCCCACCTCCGGACCAAAATGGCTGCCGACATCCTTCGCCAGACGCAGGACCACCGAACTGGCCCCGCTCCAGCCACCGCAATGACGGGCTAGCCCCGGCAGTGTGGCCCGCGCAGCGCCTCCTACCGCGAAACGGCCGGAGACACCGCGCTACCTCCAAGAAGGAGACGGCGCCCTCCTAACGCCGCTCCCGCAACCCTCCCTCCTGGCTGTTGGTCCGCGTCGGATTGCTCCGGTACCACAAGCTCCTGTCGGGTCCAAACAGGTGCGAGTGGTGTTCCCCTATCCGCCACCCGGGGACGCGTCCGGTAGCAGTAAGCCTCTGCCCCGGATTTTTTTTCGCCAAACCTAACCCAAACCGAAAAAAAATATATATATATATATATAATCGATCGTCGTTGTCTAAATTGATATACATGAAGTAATAATATCTAATAACTCATTGGAATATTTTTCGCCAAACCTAACTCAAACCAAAAAAAAAACATTATATATATAATCGATCGTCGTTGTGTAAATTGATATACATGAAGTAATAATATCTAATAATCACATTGTGTGCGCGCCCCGGCGCAGTGTACACGTAAATCATATGTGCTAATCAAAAATTGTTGAAAAGTATTTAAAAGTGACTATTAAAGTGAACTTCTACTCTAAATTGAACTATATATAATTAAAATTTAACTACATGGCGTTAAAAAATAACATATAAGTGTTTTTAGTGTAAAGAAACAATAACAAAATTTCGAGGAACTTAAAAACCTACTTAAGTGCAGTGTTCTGATAGATACGCGTAAGCGACACGATATACACGGCGCTTACGACGTTTTGGACGCGGCGTTAGTGTATAGTAAGATAACGCTTTTGCTTTAAACAAAGTATTTTGTTATATACCTGCCGCTGCCGCTTCTTTCTTTATTTATTAAAATGGATTGTAAATATTGCTCAGAGGTTTTAAAGGGAGATGAGTGCATTAAATGTGTTTCATGTAATAGAACATCTCACTTCCAATGCGTGGGATTATCTGAGGCAGACTTCAAAAGAATGTTACCTATGAATAGAGCCAAATGGAAGTGTCCTATTTGTAAAACCTCTAATAAAAGTAGCAATAGTCCGCAAGTTTTTTCCACTGACGCAAAATCTTTATTATTACTCTTCGATGAACGATTTAACAATCTTAACACGACGATTGAATCCTTTAAAACATTTATTACTGAAGAATTTAGAAAAGTAACTGAGACAGTTAAACAGTGGTCTGAGAAAATTACTAACATGGAATCATCTATTAATTCTATTATTCAAAGAATGAATGATTTTGACTTAGAAATATCTAAAATTGCACATTTAGAATCAGAATTGAAAGAGTTACAGATGTCATTTAATGAAATAAAGGAAAATAATAGTAAAAGTGAGCAGTGGGTTCGTCGTTCAAATATACAGATTAACGGTGTCCCCCAAAAAAAGGTGAAAATCTCATACAATTTATAAAAATATTAGCCGAAAAAGCTAACTTCCCCTTATCACCGGATACTGACATAGATTTTATAACTAGAATTGCCACCAAAAACGATTCGAGTGACAGTAGACCTAAACCAATTATATTAAAATTGCAGGCCCGTTATAAAAAAGATGATTTTTTAACATCTCTTCGCAAATTAAAAAACTTAAAGGCTTGTGATATGGGGTTTTTGGGGAATGCAGAATAGAATATATTTCAACGATCATCTTTCCACCAAAAACAAAGCACTCTTTAATGAGGCCAAACGCTTAGCCAAACAAAAGGGCTATAGCTATTGCTGGGTTCGTAACTGCACAATAATGGTTCGACGCACAGATAACTCGCCGGTTCTTCATATTACCTCAAAGGACTGTTTAAAAAAAATCTCATAAGTGTTAAATTGCTTTCTTATTTCTTTTACATTAAATTTTACTGTAAACGATTATATTATGCGTGTAAACGTAATTTGTATTATACATTGTGTTATAAACGTAATTTTACATTGCGCTTATTGTCAAAACTTAAGATAAATAATTCTTTACTCATTGAACTCATTGTTGAATTAATTATTAACAGATATATCATACTTAAAATTATAATAATTTGTCGTTTATTGTCTGATCAAAGTGTGATATTGTTTATTGCTTTATGTCGGGAGCCCTTGTCACAATTACAAAAAAGAATAATGAAGTGCCACACATTTTTCTTAAGCGTCATAGTGATTACCCTTATTAATATAAATTTTACATTATGCTTATTATCAAAACTTAAGATAAATAATTCTTTACTCATTGAACTCATTGTTCAATTAATTATTAATAGATATATCATACTTAAAATTATAATAATTTGTCGTTTATTGTCTGATCAAAGTGCGATATTGTTTATTGCTTTATTTCGGGAGCCCTTGTCACAATTACAAAAAATAATAATGAAGTGCCACACAGTTTTCTTAAGCGTCATAGTGATTACCCTTATTAATATAAATTTTACATTATGCTTATTATCAAAACTTAAGATAAATAATTCTTTACTCATTGAACTCATTGTTCAATTAATTATTAATAAATATATCATACTTAAAATTATAATAATTTGTCGTTTATTGTCTGATCAAAGTGCGATATTGTTTATTGCTTTATTTCGGGAGCCCTTGTCAGAATTACAAAAAATAATAATAAGTGCCACACATTTTTCTTAAGCGTTATAGTAATTACACTTATTAATATAAATAATAAATATTTACAAATAAATTTATCATTAACATGTTACTAAGTATTTTTTATCAAAATGTTCGTGGTTTACGGACTAAAACAAGGGAATTTTATTCTAATCTTTTGAATAATAACTACGATATTATATGCTTAACAGAGACATGGCTTTTACCTGGCATTTTTAATGAGGAATTGTTTGATACTAGGTATGATGTTTATCGCACGGACCGTGACTATCAGCGCTTTAACTTGAGTATGGGAGATGGTACTCTCATAGCGGTACGTCGTGAAATTAATATAGACTTGCGTAATATTCCTCAAATTCCCGATATTAATGATGCAAACATTACTATCCTGAATATAAATCTGAGAACGGGTGCTGTGCAAAAATCTCTCATCGTTGTATGCTGTTATTTTCCTCAAAATTGTAATCAATCAGATTCCCAATTAAAACTGTTCGAATACGTCTCGGATTTACGCTTAGACTTTCCTCTTTATAATATTATTGTAATGGGTGATTTTAATATAAAAGATGCCACATGGTCACTACAAAACAGCGACAGTGGCTTTAAATTAGAAAATATATCTGAGAACATTCTCACTTACCAATTATCTACGTTTATGAGCTTTACCGATCTACAACAATATAACTGTGTGCTTAACAATAATAATAGATTATTAGACCTTGTTCTATCTGACTTAAAGTGCTTAGTATCTCGAACGTTACCTTTATCGGAGCCAGAAGATGGGCATCATCCCCCACTACTTGTAGAGGTAGATATTCATTCAATAGAAAGAAACCTTAGTCTTAATCATCGTATAGTCCGCAAGTATCAAAATGCAGATTATAGCATTATTAACACAGAATTATCAAAAATTAACTGGAAACTAGAACTAAATGACAAATATATTACTGAAGCAGTTGATGCTTTCTATAGTATCATAAACGATTTAATTGAAAAATATGTTCCATCGAAACTGACAGTAGAAAGTAAATATCCCATTTGGTATTCACGTCACTTAATTAGTCTTATTAATAAAAAATTAAAATGGCATAAAAAATGGAAGATATATGGAAGGTTAAGTGATTATGACAGGTTCTCAGAAATTAGAGCACAAACAAAGTTTTTAGAAAAATCTTGTTACAATTTGTATTTGGAACGAGCAGAAAACAATATTTATATTAATTCTAAACATTTTTGGTCTTTTATTAAATCTAAAAAAGAACACATTGGTATACCAGATACAATGTATCTGGATTCACAAACTGGCTCAGATGGACAAACAATCGCCAATATGTTCAATAATTTTTTTCATTCTGTCTTTGAGAAGAATAATACATCATTCACGCCTGATGTTTACGTTAATAGCTCTGATACAATTATAGCTACATTGGATATATCAGAAAGCAAAGTACAATCATACTTAACTAAATTAAATACAAATAAGGGGAGTGGACCAGACGCTATACATCCAATTTTTCTGAAGCAATGTAGTAACACTTTAAGTATACCCTTAACTATTCTATTTAAAAAATCTTTAAATTCCGGTTGTCTACCTACAGAATGGAAAAAATCTTTGATAACTCCAATTTACAAACGTCTCGATAAACGAAATATTAAAAACTACCGCGGAATCTCAAAGTTGTCCACCATTCCTAAGCTTTTTGAAAAAATTATATATGACATGATATATCCAATATTGAGACCATTGTTGATGAATAATCAACATGGATTTATTAATAAGCGATCGACCGAATCTAATCTTTGCGAGTTTTTGGATGTTGTACTTAATGCAATGGATTCTGAATACCAAGTAGATGTTATATATACCGATTATTCAAAGGCTTTTGATAAAATTTCACATAACCTTCTAATAAAAAAACTTGAATACATCGGCATACATGGCAATCTGCTTCGATGGCTAGCATCGTATCTACGTGATCGTTCCCAGGCTGTGGCAATTAAAGGTTTTACCTCTTCCTTTGTTCCAATTACTTCAGGAGTGCCTCAGGGTTCGCACTTGGGACCTTTACTCTTTAATATATTCATTAATGATATCAATAGATGCTTTTTAAATTCAAATATATTATTGTATGCAGATGATACAAAAATATTCAAAATTATAAAGAATAAGCAAGATTGTGCTGGCCTGCAAGACGATCTAAATAGACTCGAACAGTATTGCAGATCCAACAGTCTATATTTGAATTTAGAAAAATGCTACACAATTACTTTTTCAAGAAAAAAAAACCAAATTTCTTATAACTATTCAATCTCGAACGCTAATTTAAAAAGAGTAACAGAGGTAAGGGACCTTGGAGTCCAGTTGGATAGTAAAATCATATTCGATCATCATATAAATCATGTAGCAACTAAGTCATATCAGATGCTGGGCTTTATATTTAGGCAAGGGGCAGATTTTAAAAATGCTCATACACTAATACTGCTATATAATGCTTATGTTAGGGCTAATCTGGAATACGCGTCTACAGCTTGGAATCCACAATATAATAAATATATTGACTTAATTGAAAAAATACAAAATAAATTTTTAAAAAGATTAAAAAAAAGATTTGGCTCTGCTTCTTTTAGTAATACTACTTCCCTAGAAAAGCGTAGAGAACAAAAAGATCAGCTCTTTCTTTACAAAATAATTCATAATTTAGTTGACTCTCCGTACCTATTAAATAAAATATCATTTAATTGCCCTAGACATGGCACTCGTTCTCAGGCTACTTTCTCCACCGCTGTCTCCAGAACAAAGTATTGTGACAATTCATTTATTGTAAGATCTTGCAATATGTATAATAAGCAATATCATGACATCGACTTATTCAATAATGGGTTCAAAAAATTCGCTCACTTATTAAAAAAAAAAAACCATAAATTTTGTTAATGTTTAGTATTCTTGTTTTTTGTTCGATTTATTCCTGTTAATTTTAAGTTCACTTCGTTTATGTTTTTTTAAAAGGAAACTTTATTGGCTTAAGTTTTTTGTTTAGAAGTGTTTAACTAAATCTTATTAACTATACGCTGTATGTTTCCCAATGATAAATAAATAAATAAATAAATAAACTCATTGGAATATTTTTCGCCAAACCTAACCCAAACCAAAAAAAAAAACAATATATATATAATCGATCGTCGTTGTGTACATTGATATACATGAAGTAATAATATCTAATAACTCATTGGAATATTTTTCGCCAAACC